AAGCAAGAGAGCAAGACTTTCTAGTTAAGTAGGATTCTAGTAGATATTTACTTTCCTTGTTGCTTTTATTAGTTCTAGTAATATTAGGATTTTATTAGTAGAAGATGTTAGAAGATTTAGTTGCCTTAGGATTTATATTCTTGCTTGGATTAGGAGATCTAATTAGACTATGCTTAGATTTAATTTGCACCTATAAATACCTATGTACTATCATCATTATTGGCAAGTCGAATGAGTGAATAGAAAAGGAACGTTGTGTTCAATCGTGTGTTTAAGCAAGGCCGTAGTGCGTGTTTATCATACAACCGTGTCTAAGAGAAGGCTCTGAGAGCATCTTGAAGTCACACCTATCGTGTTCAGTCGAAAGCCCTGAGTGCGCGATTATTCACAAAGCATAGACAAAATCACGATCTCTCATCACTGGGCTAGCTGCTGGCTTATGAGCACGACTTCATTTCTCGGGCTCGTTTGGGTTCGTTTGGACTCGAAATTTGACTCCGCTTTTTCATGTACGTTGCCAACGAACTCCTCTATTTAAATGTGTTCACCAGGTCCATCTATCATTGAAAAAAATCCTCCTGAATCTTCCAACCTGCACACAAACGACGACAAACCGGAAAACGACCGAAAAACACAAAAAAGACCAAAATAGAGCGAACTACGAAATAAACTACCAACCGACCTAAAAACCAACTAAAAGACCTAATATGAGGAAAAAAGAAAGACAAAAAGACAACGAAAAATGCAATAAAAATGGGACAAACACACCCACAGAGGCCCACCTTCCACCTGAATGACACCCCTCTCTGTCTTCGTATTCTTGTGGATATGGACTAGATGAGCTACTCTTCATTTATATTATACTACCTCCTGTTCATTATAAATGTGGTTTTGATTTTTGTGATTCATCCATTTTATTATGTATCTAGACATTAATATGTCTAGATATATAACAAAATGGATGAATCAAAAAAGTCAAAACGACATTTATAATGAATAGGAAGGAATAGTAGTTGTCTTGTATTTTTATATTTTTGTGCTTCGACCCACTTTGTGAGCAGACATTTTGCCCTGGCATCTGTCGGCCATGGTTCGGACCTGTCTTTTTCTTTTTTCTCAGTTTTGCTTACAGTTTTTGGTTGGACTGTGTAGACATGTGATTTTTTTTACCAATTTAGGATTTTAAATGTAGGCAGGTTGGGGATTGGGCTTTAGTCCTCTTTTGGTGTTTTATTTTTTATTTTTTTAAAAAAATTTATTTCGCATCAGGTGTTTGTTTAGAGTTCTTCAAGAATATTTGTACAACATTCTCCGAAGGTAACATGTATAACAGCAAGTTGTAGAGAACTTTATCCAAAACACATCAATCCTCACACAGAAACCAAATTACTCCTGCACAAGAAACACGAAAAGCTTGTGAATCTTCTTAATTTTATCCCGTCAACCGGTTCAAAGAGAAAACGTGCTGGAGAAATAAAAGATCACTCAGAGATTCTTGATTCTATAATAGTATAGGTGTTCTGTTTTTCCTATGTTACTCTTCAGTTTTGAAGGGAAAACTAACTAATTATCAAAGTAATTTTCCAAGATTTTGGTATATTCTGCTTAAAATCATTCCCAGATTCAAGGGTTTTGTTTGCGCTCGAAGTTACGATTTCTCTTCAATTTTATTTTCTCTGAGTTTGTTTTGCATTTCGAAGAATTTTCTCGTTCTTGTTGTTAGATTTTGGTATATTCTTGTTGTTAGAATTTTCTACTTTTTTTTTTTTACTATTTTTTTTTGGGTTTCATTATTGTTTCTTCCAGTTCATGTTTTCCTTCTTCTGCTTGAACTTATGGTCACATGTTTTTTCCAGTTTCAGAATTTTTCCATGGTTGCAGCTGAAGAGATTGTGGATGTCTGAAAATCTGAAAATATCTAAGAAAATTGCATTGAGGATGTCTGAGAAGGATAAGGGTAATTTATCATCCAATCACACTGGTCCTGAGTTAAGTGCAATGGAGAAGACAATGGAATCTGAGAAAGCTGAAGCTTACCAAGACTCAGTTAGTGTGAGGAGAAGGAAATTGACCGGTCGTGCTTTCAAGTCTCTACTTAAAAGAAAACTCAATGATGACAATGTGCGAGGTACAGTGGTCTTTATATACACTGTTTCTGCATTTGCCAGGACCAGTGGTAGTATGAATATGATTTTATATGGTTATTTAGCTTTGTAACGTAGTTCGTAGCCAGCGAAGAAGATTCTTTATTTTATTTATTGTATATTTTCAGTATAGCAAAAGGTTTTCTGCTTGTAATGAATGACCAACACTTAATTAGTATGAGATTATTCTTGTTCAAGTTATTCACAGCCAGTACACACGTCCCCAGCAATCATGCATTAGGTGTTCGTGGGGGGAATTAGAAGGACAAAGTAGACAATATCATGTTTGAAAAAAAAAATGTATTTGTCAAAAAATTAAACCCTTTTGGATCTGAACCTTCTGAATTGTGGATGATCCTGCAGATGTGAATGTTTTAGAAAATTCACGGGCATGTTCAGTTGCTAGAGAATTATCCGACATTTCTGAAAGGGCACAATCAAATTGCACTGTTGTAACAGTAAGGATGATCCTGAGCAAGAAAGTGTATCTTGATATGTAGCTTTTGTAAATTTGTGATGATTTCCCCGCAGTTGCAGGGTCTACTCAACATTCTTCTCAGTGTGAAAATTGCATTCTTCTTGGCACCTGTGCTATATGCTCTAAAGAAAAAAGGTATGTCTAACTCATAAGGTTCATCACGATTAATTCAATCCATTTTTGTACTTTTTGTCCCTTTTGCTGTAAGTTTTCGGTCTGTCTAGTAAATGTATAATAGTGTGATAAAGTTCTTAATCATTCACGAAGTTCATTGGGCTTGCCAAATGTATCAACCACTGTATTAGAAGTTGATATGTGTAGTTTGTTAGTTAATGCATGAGTCGTTGGAATTTGAGGCCAGTAGTTTCTTTGTGATGCCTAAGTACTTGTTTGGCATTACTCAGATCACATAGGTGCTTCCTTCCCTGATGGGCTTGAGTTTTGAAAAAGTATTGAGGGTGAATGTCATGGGTTGTGAATTGTGAAGCATACTCTGATGGGCTTTGAGTTTTGAAAAAGTAGTTATGGTGAATGTCGGGGGGTTGTGAATTGTGGAGCTTACTGCAGATGGAGTTGTTTCCTGATGAGAGCTACTTTTAAGCAAAAGGAGTTTTTAGGTGGAAATATAATTTAGATAAGTGGGGCTTATGTGGTAAGAGTACTTATAAAATTTGTATGTTGAAAGTTGCCATTTCCATACATAGTTGGTCTGAAGCAGACTGATTACTAAAAAGAAACCACTGTTTTTTTTTTTTTTTTAGAAAATGAATAGGGATAAGTGAGAATGGAATAGAAAAGGTGAGAATAAATAAAGAAAAAGAATGATCCATAGAGGAATACAGTAGAAAGAGGGTTGTGGGCTGAGGATTATGAAACAATTTGGTTGTTCTACTTTATGCCTGAGTTTCTTTCTATTCGTTGCCCTCATGCAGAATAGGCTATAATTCACGAGAAAAGGAGCTTTGCACTTGCTATGATACAGCCCATAAAGACCTGTACTGCTCCTCCAATTGTAAGGTCAGTCTCTGTTGTATTACTATGGATATATTGTACTTGTATTTTAGAACTCCACTTCAATGTACCTTTTTTTTTTTTTTTTCCGTAGCGTGTTTGCATGTGCCCCATGTAGCATATCTTTGGCTCTATGTACTGAGTTGTGTTTTTCAGCGTGTCCAAAAGGACATCCAATGACTACTTACTAAAAGATAACTCAGTAAGAAGTCGATATCTTTGCTCCATTTTAGTTAATGCATTAGAAATCTTGTCCCTTAAACTAAAAAGGTTGGAAAACATTGTTACACTTTTCTGTTGTACCCATTTGTCATAGTTTTATGTTACTATCTAAATCAATTTTCCATTTCTCGAACAGCGAATTATCAGCATTTATAAATGGCCAAATTTCTGATGTTTTGTATGAATGCCCAGGTCATTGTAACACACATAGTACTGCAATCTAGGAGTTAAAGCTAACAGAATTATTAAACCTACAACAAAACGGTGTAGGTTATATAAACGACTTATGAGGGGATTGACCGTTTCGTAGAATAAATTATAGGTAAATCATCTCACAACATTCTGATTGAATTTTAAGTAATTGAATATGCTGATAACTGTCCTGTTTATTTAATGCGGCAACTCATCTTGATATATGGTAGAGTTAGTCATTTCATAAGAAGAAGATTATGTGACATCTACATGGGAAAGAGTGATGTGGGTACGGCAAAGGACATTCTCTAGCTTTCTCGAACTCGACATTTGCTAAAGTTTGTTCTCTGGTTAATATTGCCCAAAGCGTATCAACTTCTTTTTCTGTAATACACATTCTATGTGTGATTCCTTTTTCCTTATCAAAACTACTCCCTTTTGTTCGCTGCAATTTCAGGTAAACAAGAAATTCTACCGACATTATTAGAGAGCTTAATTAAATACACTTACAATGTTATTTGGGTAATGCTTTGCCCATCAGGATGGCGTTGATCAAGGAGCTGTCGTTACCTTAAAGTCTGCTGAAAGGTGTCAATGTGGTAATCCGTTGAAAAAGATACATTCTGATCTTCAAAAGAAAGATTATGGAACTGTGTGTGCCATGTGCAGCAATGACGGCGAGCTCCTGTGGGTACAACTTCATATTAAGCTCTCATTATAATGGTGTCAATAGTTCTGAATATTTGATAATTAGAGGCCTTTAGGTTACAAATGTACCATTAGTTAGTTTCTAATTAAAATCACTCGATTGATGTATTTGGTGCTGCATCTCCTGATTGATATGATTATAGACCGTAAACTTATTGCATTTTGGTTCTTTTCTTTTCACACGGGGATTGTACTCTTATGTAGTTCACACACATTTGCAGGTGTTGTGAGGGAAAAGATTGCAAGAGACGCTATCATCTCAGTTGTGTAGGTGTTTGGCTGCCTGATGATTTGCCAGGTGTGAGGCACTGTCCCAAGTGTATCATTAAGAAGCTTGAACACGGTGTCTACTCTGTTTCGGAAGGAATTGAGTCTATTTGGGGTGTTAGAGAAGTGGAGATGTCGAATACTAAAGGTTGGGCGTCTTTACTAATTTAGACTTGTTGTTTTATATGGACTGCTTAATTTAACAATTTGATAGAAATGTACATATGGTCTTCAATTATGTGTGCTCGAATGCTGCTTCACCATATCCTTGTCTGTGATTTTTCTTTTATTATTGTTGGCTGATTGTAGAAACCAGACAGAGGCAGTATCTTGTCAAGTACCAAGGCCTTGCTCACATTTACAACCATTGGGTGCCAGAGGAACAACTGTTGCTCGAAAACCAATCCCTTCTTTCCACTTTTATTACAGAAGATAAGGTTAAATTCTACTTGTACTGAAGTCTGACTAGATTTCTTGTATAGTTGGTCTATGTATCAGCGGAAGCTATAGGGCAATGTTATCTAATCGGTATGCTGGTTCTTGTGGACTGTAGATAACGTGTTGGAGTTTGGATTGGACAGTGCCACATCGCTTATTATGGAAAAGACCCATTTCGAGTAAGATGCATGCACCATCTTCTGCAGATATTCCAGAAAGTTATGAGTGGCTTGTGAAATGGCATGGCCTTGATTATGACCATGCTACTTGGGAGCTAGATTCATCGTACTTTTTAAATTGTTCTTTGGGTCAGTGCCTCATGAAAGAATATGAAAATCGCCTTGGGAAGGCAAAGAGTGAAATTGATCAGGTGATTTGCCATAATCGTTTCAGTTACACTTAAATTTGTTATATTGTTGTTATTCCTTTTTCTTTTTCTCTCTTGTATTTGTGTATCTTCCTGATTTGATACATAACTAATGCACTGTTCTCGTAGATAGGTTTGGAATTGGTAATACATGATTTTATTTTCTTGATGTGATACATAACATATTCAGTGTTCTAGTAGATACACGAATACAATTGACAAAATTCTTATGACATTATGTGTACTTTACTAAATTTACATTTGACCCCACCATAGGGTTCACCCACATGACTTAGGTTGAATTACTGGTGTTTGTTATTTCTTGAAAACACGTGATGTTAAGTTAATACTTTATTACATCGTATGACTCTTCAGTTGTATTGATTGTTTGGTAATAAAAGATCTGCGTCTAAGAATGTAAATTAGAATTAAAAAGTGGTTCTAGTAGATACACGATTGAAAAATTCTTATGACGTCATGTGTACTTTACTAAATTTACTTTTGACCCCGCCATAGGGTTCGTCCACATGACTTAGGTTGAATTATGGGAGTTTGTTTTTTCTTGAATACACGTGATATTAAGTTAAATACTTTATTACATCGTATGATTCTTCAGTTGGATTGGTTGTTTGGCCATGAAGGACTTGTGTATAAGAACGTAAGTAGAATTGGAAAGTGGGTCCGAACAATTGTGACTCGTAAGATATGATCAACTCTAGTGTTGAGTATGGACAACCTCTATGGTTGTGAGGTTAATCTACTCAAGTCTGTAGGTTGCTGAATACCAGATACTCATTAAGATACCTATGTTAACATGTCATAATATGGATATAATATTGCTGAAAATGATACACAACCTGATATTATTGATGATTTATGTGTTTAATAACTCATTAAGATACAACTTGTGATAAAAATCAACTACCTCATTATGAAGTTTAACTAATTTAACAGTTCATTCATGGTAGCATAATATTTGAACAACAGTTTATGCTTTTTTTTGTTGACACTGCAGTCTCAGAAGGGATCTTTCGTCGAACTACTGGAGCTTCCAGATAATCGGTTGAGTGTGAATGATAATTTTGTATTGGAAAATGTGAACAAAGTGCGCGAGAGCTGGTACAAATGTCGGAACACTGTTGTTTTCGATGATAAGGCGAGTTTTGTTTTTTTTAATCTGCTAAATTTGTCTACCTCTTTCTTCTTCTTCTTCTTCTTCTTTTTTTTTTGTTTAATTATTATACTTGGTTGTTTTGGTTCATATAACATTGTCAAGGTTGAGTACTATTCTTTTATGATGATGATGATGATGATGAAAATGATGATAGCTCATATTACGGGTCAGAGTGATATCATGTTAACCAACCAAATCACTTTCCACAACTGATGTCGCACCTGACAGGAGAGTTCCTGTTGTCTTATAGTGCTGACTTGCACCTTTTTAATTTTAGTTTCTTCATTTTGCATGCATATCTATGCCTGAACTATACTAGTGACATGTACGTTGCACTTGATCATTCTATCTTCAAGACTGCCTATTTTTAAATTTCTTATTATCAGTTTTCAGACAGTGTTAAGTGTTGAATCAGCGTGGTTGATTGATGTGCAGTGACTGGAAGCATAAAGTAAGCTTGAAGTTTCATTTTTTAAATGTGTTTCATTGACTCTGAACTATGCAGGATCGAGTAAAGACTCTGGTTTTCTTTATTAAATCCTTGCTTGAAAGCTGTCATCCTTTCCTCATAGTTGCGACCTCTGACTCATCATCTCAATGGGAGACTGAGTTTGCACGACTTGCACCATCTGTCAGTGTTGTTGTTTATAATGGAAATATAGACACAAGGAAGGGGATTAGAGCATCTGAATTTTATGAAGAAGGAGGCCGTGTAATGCTCCAAGTACTAGTGTGTTCCCCAGAAGCTGTTGTCGAGGTATAGGGTTTTCTTTAACTGAAATGGCTTTTCTATAAGCATCTAACAACTGGCTCATTCACGATTGCTATAATAGTTGAAGTTGGTAACTGCTGTCATCTATTTAGTGTAGCTGAATTTATAAGCTAAAAGCAGAGAACTGAAAATTAGTAGTGTTTGAAAGATAAAGCTGAAAGTGGAATTTGTTACACAAGATTGTTTGGCAATGAAGTTGTAAAAGTGTGTATATATATTTAAAAGTCAAATTTAAGGCATGATCATTCCGAAGAAGTTGGTATTTCTGAACTCTTAGAAACTATTTCTTGGCTTTGTTTTCTTGTTTCTTTTACTAGCAGTGGAAGCTGCAGTTTCCTGTTTCTATAATGTCATAATCTAGCTACATAGAAAAGTGTCATGTTTGTTTTTATTTTTTGGTTGCAATACCAACTATATTGTTACTCTGATCAGTTTGATGGTTCTGCAATTTAACCATATCTTGCCCTTTAACTATGCTATTCAGGATTTAGAAATGTTGAGTTGCATAAGATGGCACTCTATTATAATTGATGAGTACGGGCACTCTAGGATATCAACTGATCTTGAACAAATTAAGATTCTCACTACAGACATTTGGATACTTCTGCTTAGCAGTCAAATAGTGGTAAACTTCTAGTAGCATCATATATATATATATATATTTTTTTTTTTTCATATATTTCAATTACCGTTTCTCATTAGATTTTTTTTTTCTCTATTTGACATCTCAGGATACAACATCCGAGTATCTACATATTTTGTCACTGATTGATTCTGAACACGAATATAATAAGCTGAGGGGCTTGAGATCTCGCAATAATAAGAATCTTGCTAAATTGAAAGAGAGGCTATCTCGTTTCATTGCATATGGAAATACTTCAAAATTATCCAAGTTCCTTGAGTATTGGGTTCCTGTTCATTTATCAAGCCATCAGGTTGAGCAGTATTGCTCTACACTTGTTTCTAACTCTATGCTTCTTCGTGCTTCTTCAAGAAATGACAAAGTTGGAGCCTTCAAGGATATTCTTCTTACAGTTAAAAAGGTTTGCAGTTTGTTTGGTCATTTCTCTACTCTACGTTGATACAAGAGTTTGTTTCCCTCGCCAGTCAAAGTTCGATAGAATGTTAAGCTATGATGATATTAAACTTTACTGCTTTTGAAAAAAATTATCACAACTCACACGTCCTAAAAAAAAAATGTTGTGATTATATCAACATCAAGCATAACCACTTTGAAACTGAAAAAGAGGCCTCATGGAACTCGTATTTTCTAGAACTTGATTCCTTTGAAAATGATGTCAGTTTTATGAGATGAAAGTTTAATTCTATTATGTTAAGAAAAAAACACTTCATATGTGTTCTATTTTTCTGTCAATTTTTAACTTTATGATTGTTTGCGTTTCTTACAGTGTTGTGATCACCCTTATCTTGTTAGCTCATCTATACAAGAACAGATGATTGCCGAGGGACATTCTGCAGATAAGATTCTGGATGTAGGGATAAAAGCAAGTGGTAAACTACAGCTTCTTGATATGATGCTTGCACAGGTCAAGGCTCTAGAGTTAAAAGCACTTGTACTCTTTCAGGTATTATATGAGTAGAACTCTTGTTTCTTATGTTGACATCTTATCTCCTACCAGTTGATGGTTTTTACATTTCTATGACAGTCAGTTGGATTGGGAAAGTCTTCAACTGGATATATATTGAACGATTTTCTGGCCGAAAAATTCTGTCAAACCTCGTATGAGTGCATTTTTGCTGGTGTTTCTCCGCGCTCAAAGAAAGCTGCGGTGGATCGGTTCAACAAGAAAGAAAACGGGAAGTTCATTTTATTACTAGAAAACCGTGCTTGTTGTTCAACTATTAAACTTGCATCCTTGGATTTGGTTGTCTTATATAACAGCGACTGGAATCCTGCGAATGATTATAAAGCACTGCAGAAGATATCCATTGACTTAGACGTCAGCCAGATCAAAGTTTTTCGGTTGTACTCATCCTGTACGGTTGAAGAAAGAGCTCTAGTTTTAGCAAAGAAAAATCTGAAAGATCTTGACATTGATCTGCAAACCGTAAGCCGTACTAATGGTGACTCTCTGCTCATGTGGGGTGCTTCATATCTGTTCAGGAAATTAGATGATTATCATGCTGAAAGGACTTCTAGTTCGAATGATATATCCGGTCCGTCTCTTTTGAACGAGATTGCTGAGGAGTTCCAGTCCATACTTTCTGGTTGCGGTGAAATAAGTCAAAGGACTCCTGTAATATCAAAAGTAAAGTTGGATGTTTCAAGTTATAGTGCAAATGGCTCGCTTCTTGGTGAGGCGAAAGTTGAGCTAAAAGATGAAGAGCCTCATGTTTTTTGGACAACTCTTTTTTGTAAAATTACACCTCAGCAGAAGCATATACTAGGTCATTGCCAGAGGAGTCGAAAGAGAGCTCATCACTTGGAGAATGATAATACAGGAAATAAACGTAGAAATGAATATACAGGAAATAAACGTAGAAATGAATCAGTTGCAGATGTATGTCGAGCCTCGACTCCAGTTATAACACATGAACGGCAGGTTATTCAAGTTGGAGGTCCAGAGGGAGGTAATTGTTTGATGATTCTCGCCTTGTTTTTTTCACTTCAAGAAAGATGTTATTTATGTCTGTAATAGTTGTTTTTAGTTCATTTCAGTATCTTACCAAGTGTTTATTATAATTAAGGGGACTTTTGAAATTAAAAAAAGAAAAACTACTTTTAGAAGTATTTAAATAACATGTTGTAGTGTTTGCGAATAAGTTGAATTAGTCCGAGGGTTGTGTTTAATAAATAAATTGTAAATTTTCCTATTTGTTTGAGAAGGGAAAGTCAGAAGCATACTAAGAAATCTGAAAGATTCTTGCAATATATTCTGATTACATGAAGCAGGACTCAGAGAAAATCCTTCATTTGCAAAGTTTATTTTGGATTTTTATATTTGTCAGTTAAAAAGCTCACAAACACCTTTTCCAATGATTGCAAATACTCCCCAAGTGCCTAAGTTTTCTGATGGTGATGCAAGATCATTCAGAACCAGAGCCAATAGTTTTCAATCTTCTCTAAAAGTCGGTAATATTTGTATAGATAGTCGAGATGACATGGCTGGTCGAAGCCCTTTAAGTCCTTTGGCTGACAGATGTGGAGCTGAAGAAAGAAATTCGCTATCTGATGAGCAGAAGAGCATCCATGGTCTTTTATTAGAAGAAACGAAAAAACTATGTCAAATTCTTAAACTCCCGGTACACATCTTCTTTTTTTTCCTTCTTTGTCCTATGCTGGTTGGTGGTATCTTTTGACTGATTACTCAGTCACGTACCAGCTTGAGAGCACAATAAGTTTTTTTTTTTTTCCCCTCTTTTGTACTTCCGGTGGTGTGCGCAATTGGGGATGATGGTGGTGGGGACGTCTTCATGAATTTTTTCTGCTGTTAGATAAAATAAAATGTCATAGTTAAAGAAAACATCAATTATTATTGTTGGAAAGTAAATTCTTTTCATCATTTTTCTAGTACGCTCTTAAATTTTCAAGGGTGTGATTGGATATGGATTTGATTGGCTTTTTTGTTAATTATAGTTAATTTTTGAAAAATGTGTATGGTTAGTTATGAGTGGAATTTTTAGTTTATGTTAAAATAAAATAATTAAAGTTGATTTGATGTAAAGTAGGAGATAGATGATGGGAAGTGATGGTTAGTTAAAATTATGAGAGTGGATGAATAATGAATTAACGTTGATGTGATGTGTAAGGATGATTGATTGATATTATTTAATTATATTGATAATATTGAGGATAGTGTGGTTAAGTTAAAAAATGTGATTGCATTAAAAATGATTGATTTTTTCCAATCAAATTCATAGTATTTCACTTTTTATGATTCCTTGTTGACCACCATTCGAATTAAAAAGGGAAAAAAAAAGGAATCTGATTTCTAACTTCTCTATTTAAAGAAAAAAAGTTATCCATGTGGTACAATGAAAATATTAATCAACCCTGTCTCTTTAGGACAGAGGGAGTATTTTCTTTATCGGTTTTTCTTCTTTGCTTTGTGGAGCGTTCTTTAGGTCATCAGCAATTCCTATGGTCAAAATTAATTAGTAAATTTGGTAATGACATTATGTTTTGCGTCATGAATTATGAACATAATATCTGCCTTGCCTCTCTGAAATGCAGGGGGATGTAACTCATACTTTAAGACGATTTCTAGAGTATATAATCTCGAATGACCACATCTGGGGAGACTCGCCAGAAATTATGCAGGCTTTCCAAGTATCCCTGGTTAGTATTTTTTCTGTCACTTGTTGATGTGCGTGCCACGTACGTGATTCTTTAGAATGTTTTTGGTGATCTGAAATTATAGTTTTCTTTAAATTTTTGCTAATAGTATATTCAATTATTTTATTGTTAGTTTAACAAAATAGGGTTGATTTCATTATTTTGTGATAAACTACATAAAATGTATTGAACTCTGAAATGTAATATTCAATGGTATTAATTGAAATTTATGATTGAATAAAAGCAAATAAAAATTATGTAGAAAATCCAAAAAAGATAATTAATATATATTTTTTTTTTTTTTTNNNTAATGATATCCTTGCCATTGCTTAACGATCATAGTTGTCATTATACTTAGTATAGCTTCATCATGTCTTCTTTTCATTCCCATACTCTACGACATTTATTTGAATTTTCTATAGCTTTAATAATTAATTTTTTCTAATTAATTGAAAGATAATTAACGTGGTTTGGATGTTTTTACTTCCGCTAGTCTTTTGTTTATTGTTGTGGTATTGAGAGAGCATTATTTTGACAATATTTAAAAACTGGTATTTTATATATATTTGCAGTTCAATCCTTCTTAATGTGTGAAAAAATTCTCTCTGGGTTTAGTGGCATATGATATAAAAATATTTGAAAATTTCTAAAAAGTTGTAATTTTTTTAAGAAATAAAACTATTAATGAATACTAACATCCTTTGATGGATTGAAGATGTCACACCTAACAAAAGCAATCGTTGCATTTTCAAACTTTTTTACATATGTACTATAATTCTTCAATGCCCTTAATATTAAAGAAAATGATTCTTAGTAAAATTGTGGTTTCTCTATTTTTATTTTTATCTTGATATTGTTTTCACATCTCCGTGTACACCTTTTACATTATTTAATTATTTGAGAAGTGATGCCCAACCAATGACATAAAAATATAAATGTGCTATTATATAAATGATTTTGATAATAACTTTTTTGTGATAATGATAGTTCTTGAAACTTAAGATTTTGTTGCATTTTTTTTTTCATAATTGTTTTATTGTTTATTCTTAAAATGGTACATAAATTCTATTACATACAAGCATAAAAAGACATGTATGCTAGGCGTATTATATAAAATGTAAACTTAAATTATATTACCTGCACGAATAATTTAGAGATATTTGTTTTTGGTGGATCATAAATTTACTTAATGATATATTCTAGAACTAGTGTTGATACCCGTGATAAAAAAAAATAATTTTTATTTAATATTATAAATTTATTTAAGGAAAAAAATTATATTCTCTACAATATTCTATTCAGTAATAATATGACATTTATTTATTTATTATTATTGTTAATTTTTATTTATATATATATATATTTTTGTAGTTTTTGACTATTTAATATATAAATATCATTATTTATAAGTTTATAAATTATTATAAACGTATAAGATCATATGATATTTACATACAAATTACTTGTATGTACTTATAAAATTGTCGTTTATCATAGTCTTATAATTTTTTAACAATTCATAATTTACACATTGCTTGATAATTGACGAACGTTTAAACCATAATATTTATCTTCCGCTATAATTATCAAGTGCATTAGATATTAAATAACTTCGATAAATAAATTTTAATTTTTAGTAACTTTAATCCTATGCCACAAATTTTTTATGTTAAATATTTTATTTTTATATTTTCATTTTTATTTATACTTATTTATTTAATTTATTTTTTCAACTAATGAGTTACATAGTATCTATTCGAATATTTAGATATATTATATATTTCTATAATTACCAAGTGCTATAATTTAAATTATTATACATTGCTTTTTTATTAACTTATTTTTCATTTATAAAATAGTATATAAGAGAAAAATATATATATTTTCAAAAATTGAATAGTTTTTTAATGTACATTGATACTTCTAAAAGGTGAAATTATAATTCTAAATTGCACTCGACCATCAAATTTTATTTTTATTAGTATATTATTTAAATTTTCAATTGTATTACCACTGCATATGATATATTCAATAGGAATGTACCTTTTTATAGTCAAATTTACTATATTTTAGAAACTTTTATTATGTTATTATGTTTTAAACATAGTTATTCTGATTATTTTATAAAATATTTTAGGTACTTCTGAATAGTGAATATAATTAACTAAATTACTACATACAACCATAGATGATAATATATTTAATCAAATCAATTTCCATAATAATTTTTTGAATTGTGTCAATAAGTTACTATAAAATTAACATATGGTTTTATTGAAAATATATCTAACAAACTTACGGTAAAAAAATTTCAGTAGTTTGCAGTTAATGAGCAGTAGTCACTGATTGTATAAAAATTAATTATATTTTTCATGATAAGATTTGCTAATAGATATTAATCAAATGTCAAATATTGACGAAAAATTTTCTTGCCTAAAATCAAGCCAAGTATGACAATAGGGATTTGTCCATTTCTATATATAGATAGATGTTTGAATTTAAAAATCTAATAACCAAATTTATTAAAGAGATAAATCAATAATATTTATCACTTAGATAATAAATAATAAACATTTACACGTAAGGAAAAAAATTAAATAATAATATATTTAAAAACATAACTTAGAATTTCAAATAAAGTAAAAGGAGGGATAACTCATTTTTTTAATAAAAAGTTTCTAAATATATTATATATTGGTAAGTATCTCTGTAAGAATAATCATACCATTTTCAAAAAAATTGGCAAGTTTCTTAAATATATAATTCCGATTAGATAAATAATTAATTATTTAAGATATTATAATAATTATATCATAAAAAAACCAGTTAGATAATGTAAATGAAAAATATAATATTAATTAGTTTGTTAAGAATGTAATTATATGAAAATCAAGATAAAATAAAATTTACGCAAAAAATCTGCTTGTGATCTTTTTCTTTAAATCTTTGAATCTAAAAATCTAATAACCAAATTTAAATTATATCAGGTAAGGAAAGAAATAAATAATAAACATTTATTAAAGAGATAAATTAATAATATTCATCACTTAGATAATAAATAATAAATATTTACACGTAAAAAATAATATATTTAAAAATATAATTTTTTTCCAATAACGTAAAAGGAGGGATAACTCATTTTTGAAAGAAAAAAAACGTTTCTAAATGTTTAATATATTGGTAAGTATCTCCGTAAAAATAATCATATCATTTTAATTTAAAAAAAATGGCAAGTTTGTTAGAGAGATAAATCCGGTTAGATAAATGAATAATTATTTAAGATATTATATTAATTATATCATAAAAAATCAGTTAGATAATGTTGATAAAATATATAATATTAATTAGTTTTAGGAATGCGATTATATGAAAATCAAGATAAAATAAAATTTACCATAAAAGAAATTTGTTTAGGATCTTTTTCTTTAAATGTTTGAATTTAAAAATTTAATATCGAATTTTGATTATATCACATTTGGAAAAAGAAACAATAAATGTTTATTAATATATTAAAATATGTATTTTGAATTTCATATAAAGTAAAAAGTATGATAATTCAAATTTATTTTTAAAATTTTTCTAAAATAATTAATATTTTAGTAATTATATCCATAAGAATAATCGTGTAATTAATTAAATAAAATATTATATTTATATCTTAAATTACCTAATTAGATAACTTGGATAAAAAGTATTATATTAATTGGTTGTTAGAAATGTGTATATATGGAAGTTAAGATAAAATGGAATGTGCCAAAAAAATTTGCTTGTAATCTTTCCTTGAATTTATTTTTTTTAAAAAAATAAAAATTCAAAAAACTTGGATTATCATTGGTGGGATTCTCCCAAAATTTTAAAAAAAAATTTCCCTTTATTGGTAAAAAACGAAAAAATGAGCCGGAACTTACATACTATTTTTGTATTTTTTTCTTCTCTCTATTTTATAGTAATAGATTACATTATGTCAATTAAAAGGTTATTTTTGTTATTAAAGATGTACAATTTTGTTATAGGTCATGGGATGACACGACTTATGGAACCATTCAAAATTATTCACAAATAGTGTATTGACACGTGTCCTACAATAAATACGCTTTGGACAATAAATACATTGTAGATAGGTGTCGGTACATCAAAATATGGATGACATAATGGATCTGTTGGCTCCATAGAATTTTTGTAATGAAGTATATATGTATGTGTTCATTAAGTTTTCCTCTTTGACTTTTTATTTAAAAAAAATATTGTAACCAAGAATTTGCCTTGCAATTAAGAAACAAAATGCAATTTAGCGATATGCCAATTATGTCTTACAACCATGAAAGTAATATATTTAAAACTACAAATGCTAATTTGAAATTATATTTTTCCTTTGAATGATTAAAAATAAAGGGTTTGTATAAGCATGGATTTTTATTATATGTTTGATCCAAATTCTAATTATCTCATAATCATAGAAAATAATATGTATTAACCACAAATTATAAACGTTATTCATTTGGGGAAATAAAATGTCTTAAATTATATTTATACATCATGTATAATGTATGGTTATATAATTTAATTAAATTTATACATCATGTATAATTATGACTAGTACAAGTACAATTCGTGTATTACAGGGGTGCTTGTTACTTGTTAGTAAATTTATATTCAAAATATAAAAAACAAAAAATGAATTGTTTTAATTTTCAAATACCTTTTCGAAAACTATACTGTTATTTTTATTTAAAATGGCACCCAACACTTGTACGACATGCCATCTTATATTACAGTTTTTTCTTTTAACTTATATTATATAACTACTTTGTAGTCAAATTAATTTAAATAATTTTAATTGTTCTGTTGTAAAAATAAATATATTTAGTTATTATTTATTTTGTATGTACAATATAGATGCCTAATCGAAACTTATCAAGACATGATTAATTTCAATATTATATATAAAGAAATGATAATAGACAACAAATTTATTAACTTTTTAATCTATTTAAGGTAGTAAATTTTTTATATATAAAAGAAAGATTGGGGAAAACAAATTTATGCCTTATAAAATACGTATACAGTAGGAAATGATATTAAAACATAACTACTGCTCTTAAAAATGATCCAATATATATATTTATTTATATCTATATAATAAGAATAACCATTTACTAAAAATAGTATAGAAAATGTAGAAACATTTAATTCATACATTTTTTTTGGAAACTTTTTAAATATATGCATTAATGGCTTCTATATACACTTATTCAAATAAGATTAAATCAAATATGATAAAAAAAATTGTGTCCTTAATTTATTAATATCTACAATAATTTCATTAATATACATTATAATAAATTACAATGTTGATTTTTCGTGATTCATGTTAATAATATTTTGGTCAAGATAAATATTACAACATGTTTTAATTTTAACCATAATATTAATTTTTTTCACAAATATTCACTTTTTATTAATTAATATTTATGACAAAACGTAACAGGTTAGGTAAGATTTGTCTCTTCCAATTAATCAGGCAAAATAAAGTTGGTGAATTAATCTTTGTCAATATAATTTTTTCTTAAACTTTATTTCGTTATATATAAAAAATAAATTATTCTTCAAATTAATATAATTTAAAATTTAAGAAATAATGACTAGATACATTAAATAGTTTTACTAATGTTCAAAAATTAAAATTGAACTATATTAACTGTTCTTTAGAATTTATTTGTATGTTATTGGCAACTATGGTTATTTTTTTATCATTTTTTTTATTTTAATCCCTTTCTATAATGATATTATTGTAAAATATATTTTCATTGGTGAGTATGCTAAATGAACTATATATCCTTATAATACAAATTAGAAAATTTTTGATTATAGAAGGTATTGAATTTTTGATATTTCTTAAATCAAAGTTATTTAATTAACATACAATATTGAATTCGAAAAAAACATGTGTGTATATTTTGTAAAATATCTTTACACTATTTGATTTTAAATTTGTTTACCTATTTTAAATTGATTACATTAATATATAATACTAACATGCATTAAATATTTTTCATTACATAAAAAGAAAAAGAAGACGTACAACTTCTATAACTTTTATAAATAAAAATGATATTATATGACAATAAAGTTTAAAAATAATTATGTATTATGTGGTGTACAAGAATGAGTAAAACTGTTATTTTCTCTTATATCAAGGAATAAATATATAAACTAAAATCAAATTTATATTAGTATAAATGTGGTGGAAGATAATATATTAATTATTTCACAAGTTAGCCATAACATGCACATATTTAATGTTCTAACTAAAAAAATAATGCTAATTAAAAGAGATAACAGTAGTAAAAACATTTGGGAGCATTTGATGTATACCTTTTTTTGGGAACTTTTTTAAACACATGCATTAATTGCTTCTATATACACTTTTTCAAATAAGATCAAATCAGATATGATCAAAAATATTGTTTTCTTTAATAATTTTATTAATATCTGTAATAATTTCATGGATATTTATTATAATAAATTATAAGATTGATTTTCCGTGATTCATGTGGATAATATTTTGGTCAAGATAATTATTACAACATATTTTATGTTCTAACCGTAATATTAATGTTTTTTTTTAAACAAAAAAAAAATATTAACTTTTTGATCAAAAAATATTTATAAAAAATCGTCACAGGTTAGGTAGAATTTTTTCTTTCAATTAGGCAAAATCAAGTTAGTGAATTAATCTTTGTCAATATAATTTTTTCTTAAGTTTTATTTCGTTATATATAAAAAATCAATTATTCTTCAAATAAATATAATTTAACATTTAAAAAATAATGACTATTTTATTAAGGGTGAAAAATTAAAATTAAAATATATTAACCGTTCTTTTAGAATTTATTTATATATTATGTGCAACCATCATTATTTTTTTTTTTATTTCTTTCTATAATGAAATTAATGTAAAATATATTTTCATTAATTAGTATGCTAAATAAACTATAAATTCTTATAATGCAAATTAGAAAAATCTTGATTATAGAAGGGATTGATTTTTTGGCATTTCTTAAATCAAAGTTGTTCAATTAGTATACAAAATTAAATTCGAAAAAAAAAAACATTTGTGTCTAGTTTGTAAAATATTTATACACTCTTTAATTTTAAATCCATTTAAATATTTAAATTTCGTTATATAAATAAATAATAATAACGTGCATTAAATATTTTTCAATTACATAAAATAAAAAAAGAAGATGTACAACTTCTATAACTTTTACAAATAAAATAAAAATGACATTATATGACAACAAAGTTTAAAGTAAAATAATAATTAAGTATTATATGGTGAACAATAATAAGTAAAACTATTATTTTCTTTTATATCAAGGAATAAATTTATATACTAAAATCAAATTTATATTATTATAAATTTGTTAGTGAGATAATATACTAATTATTTTACAAGTTATCCCTAACATGCTCATATTTAATGTTCTAGCTAAAAAAACGATGTTGATTAAAAGAGGTGGAAAATAGATTGTAACCCTATTGATTTTTACATTTAACGATGATTAAAAATGGTGGAAAATAGATGATGACTCTATTGCTTTTAAGACTGCGTCTGTTAAAATAACTCATTTAATATCTTTGTCTCATGCATCGCACGAAGTACGTACTAGTATTTATAGATACTCCAAGCTTAGTTATTATTGGATTGCAAGTAAATTAAAATTCATCTAAACCAAATGACAAAACATGAAAATTTGCCACATGATCCTGAAGCGTGCCACATAGGCTCACTACATTCTGAAATTATATATATGGGATTTTCGCTTCACTATTTATAAAGATATAATGCTCGGAAACTACATTTTTCAGAGAAGAAGCCAATATAACTTACACCCCTATAAACAAATAGTATTAAAATTTGAATCCAAACTACATTTTTCAGAGAAGAAGCCAATATAACTTACACCCCTATAAACAAATAGTATTAAAATTTGAATCCGAAACAAATATCTATAGATCTTGGTGAAAAAAACAATTTGTAAAAGTAATATTTCTTCTCTTATATATACAAACTATATTAAAAATATTCAAAAAAATATTCAAATTGATACCAAACATGGTTATGTGAAATAATATTGAATAAAATTATATAAAGGGAGAAAAAAAAAAGAAAGTTGATTTTTTTTTTTGAAATAGATATCAAATTTGTGGAATTAGTTTTTGATACATAATTATGATTTAATGTATAAAACATAAGTAAAGAAATAAAGATTCTTTATCCAACTTTCTTATGATCTCATATTACATAATAAAAATTAATCATGCCTTAAGGAACATGGATAAATATATTTATTTATTAAAAATTTATAAATTATAGCAACTCTAAAAATCAGTTCTTTAATACATAATATATAATGGAGGTTGGAGAAGATCAACGAAGAAGAAGAAGAAGAACAGTTATCATGTTCTTTAGCAAAACAAATACATATTGGACACGACCAGTTGAAGAAGAAGAATGATAACAATTATCAAGTTCTTTAGTAAAATAAGTATTGAGCATGACCAGTTGAAATATGAATGGGTGAACACTATAATCTTGAAAATGTTCCCTGCAAACCTTAGTTCGCACCCCCTTTCTGATTTTATTTTTCCTTATTATCCGCCAATTGTCTAATTGTTTGTGCTTAACTTGAAAATGTATCTTGCAAACGTTGATTTATACCCCCTTTCTGCTTTATTTTTCCTTATTATCGCCAATTATCTGATCTTCCTTGGCAGTTATGGGTTGTCGCATCAATCGCAAAACAAGAAGTAAATATGACCGATTCCATAAATCTAGCAAAAACGTTGTTAAATTACCAGTGCACAGAAGAACAAGTATACTCGGTTTATACAAAGATGCTTCACCTCAAGTGGATGTACCTTCAGTGTATGAACTTAAACGATGGCCACTTGTTAGCTGGAGAGGGACCCAATGACGGGAAATTCAGCATCAGTAAAGGGATCTCATCCTCTTTACCCATCGGGTCGCAAGATGTGAAAACGGAGATTCAAGAGTTTTCTACTCACGAAGAACATTGTGAAGGTCAATTCCTTTCACAACAAAAACTAATGGATGTTATCAATGAAATACACAGAAGATGCAACAAGCGGATGAAAAAGCTTGTTCAGAAGCAAAAGCAGGAGGCTGAAGAGCTCCTCCGCAATCGGGAGGTGAAGAGATTAAAATTGGAGACTGATCACCAGTTGGCATTGGCGCTCATTAATTCTATGTGCGCTGATGGTTCGGAAAGAAAGGTCAAGCTCAAGGCATTGGACCGTAAATATGCAAAGGAAATGGAAGAAAATAAGCTTGTTGAAGATATGCAGTTAAAAGATCTTGAGGCAAGGCACTTATCTGCCCAGGTTCAGGAGAGAGAGAAGGCAGCTCACTGGATATCGAGTGTGAAAATCAACTGCTCTGGTAAATTAGGCATGTTCAGTACTCTTAGGACACCAGCTGAAGAAGGAGAAGCTAATGCTAATCAACCAAAGCTTATTGGGAAAGCTATTTGCGCGGACCTTCTTACCTCTGAACAAAAACTTTTAGATGAAACTGCGCCAGCTGAGCTAAATAAACAGGTTCAATCAAAGGTACCTGAAAATGTACTCTGTGGGGTTGTGGATAACGTTAACTCTGAAAAACAAACTAAAGAAAAAGGCTCTGGTGTCTCACCTTTGGCAGCACAAATATTGGAACCTTTAGTTGTACAGGAAGCTAGTTGGAACCTTTGTGACTTGCTGTCACCGCATGTATAATCACCTTTTTCTTTATATCTTACTCACATTTTCTCTATTTCACTTCTTCTCCATAAATTACCAACATTTAAACTATTAAGTGATTAGAAAATGTGAGTAAGATATAAAGAAAAAGGTGAGACATATTTCCGTAATGTACTTTATTTGAATCTATAGCATATTTTATTTTATCACAGCGAAAAGCATCAGTAGGAGAGACATAGATTTGAAAATTCTCTTCATTTTTGAAGAGTCATTGACCAAAAGTTATCCCCTCAAACTCGCTGTTTTTACCTTCTAAATTGAAAGAATGAGTTTTCACTCTCCATATGTGCACTTGTTCATTTCCTTAACTTTTAGTAGCTCTTTAGAGTGGCAGTTCATAGAAACATCGCAAAACATTAATTGATGTTGGGAGAAGATGACATAAAAATCCAAATACTTAGCTGAAAAAGTAGGTGCCAATGCTTCTACTTGAGAAAAAGTTCTTGATGAAACCTAACGGTTTGCAATAAAGGTATCGGCAAATGTGCCTCGATGCAGGTGCATTCTGGTTAAGTATTGGAACATTTGGAGCAGACAGATTAAGTAAAGGTTTTTTTTTTTTTTTTTAAGTATGCTGTTTAATATTTGTTCTTTAGTTGTTGGCTCAAGTTAGAAACACTTTTTTTCTAAAAGTTTTCTATTCTCACGTGTATTTTTGGTGTACATTGCATGATTAATAGAGAAGGCATAACTGCTTTTAGGATACTCTTTAGTTGTTGGCTCAAGTTAGAAACACTTTTTTTCTAAAAGTTTTCTATTCTCACGTGTATTTTTGGTGTACATTGCATTATTAATAGAGAAGGCATAACTGCTTTTAGGATACTCGAACAATATGAAATCCCTCATTTACCTTCTATAGTTAACAAATCTTTATTACCTTGGTATTGAACCTCCTTACTCTCTCACTGCAGGGGATAAAAATGGTTGAGAAACAAAATAAGAAAAAGTGAGGTAGAAGCGCTTGAGCTACCACCAGTTTTGTAGGAGTTAATTTGGAATCTAGCATTTATATTCACGGAATATTTCTGAAATACATATATTCAGAATTTGTATTGCATTTTCTTTTTTTTTTCAGTTCATAAAATGCTACGTTGTGCAGGAATATGTAACCCGCTATGGATGAGTTCCCCAAAATTTTTCCCCTTCAAGTTTTAGTGTATTCTGGTGAATATTTCCGTTTTCTACTGTGCTGGGGTAACATAAAATTCTAGTGCAGGTGCTAGAAGATCAAAGCCACAGAAGTTTGTTTGCGGAATTGCAAGACCAAGTTCCACGGACAGTTGAAGATATAAATACTTCACAATTTGAAGTTGGCCCAGTCGAAAATATAAATTCAGCACAAGCCATCGAGAACTCTGTGCAGCCAACCAATGTGTCAACTAATGTAGTGTCCAGCACAAGGCAGTCAACGGCTGTTGAAATAGAAAAACAAAGTTTTGTTTCTGAAAGAAACATCTCCCAAAATTATGAGGGTGCAAATACTAACATGATGCTACAAGACCAAAATACAAATTCAAAATTGCAAGACCAATATGCACCCACGCCAGCTGTAGAAGATCACAAACCTTTGCCAGCTGAAGGTATATACCTCGATGCAAGAACCATTGAGAACCAAATGCAGCTAAATCATGTGTCACCAGCCGGAAATCAGTCAACCACCATTGGGGCCGAAAGTCAAAGCTATGTCTCTGAAGAAAACTCTTCTCGAATTACCAAGGGTGCAGAGACCGAAATACTTCCACACGAGTGTTCTCGTACTGGCCAGAATTTGGAAAAGAACTTCCAACAAGCAGTCAGTGTTTAAATTTTGCTGCTGATAGTATTTTATTCCTAACATCCGACTTTAGCATCCCATAACATTATATTTTTTGTCAAGTAGATTTCGGAGTTGGAAACTGCTCGTGAAAAGGAGATGCAAGAAGTTACTGGTCAAGTGCACAGTAAATACAAGTTGAAGCTTGTGGATGCTGAATTAAAGTATATTTTGAGAAAGAATGTTCTTGATGCTAACAAGAACGAAGCTGTCATGAATCAGAAACTGCCTACAGCTTTAAGCCCTGTTCGCGAGTATCCCCAGTCGTCTCGACTCCCTGGTATTTAACCAGGTACCTGTGCTATTATTATTGATACATATCATTTGAGAATTTTTTGTTTCTCAGTGAAGAGTATCTGATACAAGTTTCTTCCTAAGAATGTCACCAAAGGTGGGGATATCAAATGCTATCTTCATAACATTTCTTGAAACTGAAAGATCCATAATTGGAAAAGTAAATGTTTCGGCAACCTTGACCTGGATACGGTTGGATTAGTTGCATTTAGTCAATGTCCTGGAGCCAATATTCAGTTCTGAATTTCCAAAATATGTCCATTCTGTTTCTCCGCAGAAATATTTGCAAATTCAATTTAGCAGTCAGTTTCTTGCGTAATTTTTTAAATCATTCAGCAAGTCTAGTTGTACGACCCTTATAACCAACACTGGATTGTATATTATTTTAGTACTATTGTTGATGCGGTTGCTGATATTCCATCAAATGACATGCAGAAGTTGCATTGACTACCACAGCCACATTCACCAGTGGGACTTGACCTTGTGCCCATGGATAACAACCCTCAACCTTTTAGACCGACTGCCAATCATCATGTGAGTCACCACCAGGAAAATCGAACTTCCACGGCTTTACCCGAAACAGCCTCTCTCTGTACTAGCATATTTGTGCAGGGTTTCTGTTTTTTCCTTGACATTGGTCTTTTCGAGATATCTGGGTTGGATTTTTCAGACATAGTGGTTTTGATGATTTTTGGTTCATGATTAGTTGAACAAGAAAGTTTTACTTACCACTCATGGTTATCAGTCGGGATATATACATACTGAAGTTTCGAAGCATCACGTATGTTCCTATGAACAACTGATGTGAAATGTGAATGTGTTCAAATTGTTGTGGTTCCATATATAGGAGGGGATGCTTGTATATAACATATAATATCCACCTCTCTTTTCTGCACACACCACACCCCCCCCCCCCCCCNATATGGGGTTGGGTTCAAGTGAGAACAGGGGCGGACCCCCCTCATTAAAAAAGAAATATATATATATATTATGTATAAAAAATATAAAAATATTTACAATATATAAATAATTAAACTTATTAAAAATCAATATATATAAATTATGAATATAGTATAAAATATGTATAGAAATGTAAAAAATATTTACAATATAGTACTAATTAACACTTATTTCATATGATATTTTTATTTAAATTAATAACATTATTTATTTATTGAAAAATATAATAACAATCCTTATATTTTAAATTTTTAGATAAGCTTTTGAAAATATTTATAATGATTTACTCTTTTGGTATCTTAATTTTAAATCGATTTAGTGATTTATAAAACCGAGTAATTATTGATTGGATTGTTACATTTTTTATGTTGATTTTTACTCTTCTTTTTTGTGTAAGCACAAATTTTTAATTTTATTTATTTTTTCATAAAAAAATATTTATTTGATAAGCTTTCATAAACAAAATGCTATGGAATATTGTGTAAAAATTCAAAAATCAAATTCTCTACCCAAAAACTTATTTTTTCCGATGTAATTTTAAATATAAATACATGAATTTTCTCTTCTCCTTTTTTTTTTTTTTTTAAAGTTTGAGGGTGATACGGTTTCTAAGTTTTTAAAAACTCGATAGTACACGTTCAATATTTGTAATTGTAATAAATACATTTTTATATGAAATGAGTGTTTCGATTTAAACTAAAAGTCTGTTATTTAACATTTAAAATCGGGTTCCCCTGAATGAAATTTCTAGATCCGTCACTGAGTGAGAATGATGTTTAATGAAAGAAATAAGATGCATCTTAGCCATACAATCCAAACATCCAACGGCAAAAAATAATCCAAATATTTACACTTATTAAAGGCTTATTATTAAGGGCATATTGGACATTTGCCTTATCACAACTTAATCACCCACATATTCCACATACATGTGGGTCCCGCCCCTACCAAAACTCCCCCTTCATCTTCCACTCTCTCTCTTTCTCGTACATACTCCATCCCCTAGGGGTGCACAAAATATGGTTAACAGACCGAAACCGAAATTTCGGGTCGGACCGAAACCGAAACTGAAACTTTGGTTCGGTTTTCGGTTTGCATTTTTTTGAAAATTCGGTTTTCGGTTCGATTCGGATATACATGCTCGGTTAACCGATCGAACCGAAAACCGATATTATATACAAGTTATAAAGCCCTGCCCATGCTTATGTTGTCTGGCCCATTTATATTAATAGTTTGTTGCTTTTTTTCATCCACCACGGCCCCACAACACTTGCAGGCCCAATCCCCCATTGCTCCTCAATTCGTTTCTTTTTTTTTTT